TAACTTTGCTTGTTAATGTCATCCCTGCCCCAAATCCAACGATGGATATTAATTTCTTATGGGCAGAACTATATCATTAATATATAATTCTTACAAACATTTAATTAATACGACATAATAAACATCTATTTAATATACAGCATTTTTTCTTATAAATATTACAGATTGTAAGACAGTGCATCAAATATTACTATCACGTCTGGTCTGGTCTGGTGCGTCTGTTTTATATCTAGAGATTCTTGACAAAATTCAAAGAACTTGGCAACTAGGTTTCAGTGATTTGGCCGCCACTGTAACGTAGCTCCTCCTTGCCTTTTCTGTAAATATTTTCACGGTAATCGATCCAATGAGCATCCTTCGTTGTTATGTCACGAATTTAAGAAGCAGTAATAAATTAGCAGCGAAGTTTATGTCGTAAGTTGTATCTATGGAGAAAATGACTGCTGGTCAGGCGGCAAAAGGGCAGAGTACTTCCCTTGAGTTGTTGAAATGCTTATGAAACAAAAGCTTGTTATTTTCAGTACTAACTATTCATACCAACAGTGCTCTCGTGACAGGGTTACCATGTGATCCCTGACGTTGTATAAAAGGAGAGGAAATCCATCTCTTTTTTTATTATTAAATTTACCTTCCATGTTATTATATGGTTATAAATCTTGCACATTCTATATGTATCGAATATTGCTGCCACGTCTGATCTGGTGCGTCTGTTTTATATCTAGTGATTCTTGACAAAATTCACAGAAGTTGGCAACTCGGTTTCAGTCACTTGGCCGCCGCCGTAACGTAGCTTCCCTGTGCCATTTCTGTAAATATTTTTACGGTAATTCTTCTGATGAACTTTCGCCTGTCATGCCTACATACATTCTATGTTAGAATACGGCATTCTATCCCACTAATGTGATGTGCTATATCAGCGCTTTTTAAACTATGGATCGTGACTCCATTTGGCGTCGCAAAGCGAAATCCTGCGGTCTCGAATATTAAATTCAAAGACTTGAATTTCAGTTTATATGTTATTTGACAAACGCACAATATTTAACGTAAAACTAATTATTTTGCGACGAGTGCAGTGACAAAGGATGTATTTTCAGGGTAGTTAGATAAATCGTGGGGTCACGAAAAATACCGTGATCAAAAATGTGATCATGAATGAAAAACGTTTAACAAGCGCTCGGCTAAGTGTGTCTTATTGTTATATGAATGTTATAAAGCAGGACTTATATATCATTGCGTCTAAGTTATCCTATGTGACCTTGATAGTATCTGAACGTAGAACATATTCCTTACGCAAACATTTAAATTAGAAAAGTAGCGATGGTCAGGCAGAAATAAGAAGAACGTAAATTAGAAAGGTAACGACAGTATGAAGAACGTAAATTAGAAAAGTAACGATGTTAAATAATAATTTAGCAGACTATTATCTTTTAGAGGAAGGGTATCTCTGCTCTGATTTCCTGAGGTTGACCTTCGAGGTCAGATGGAAGACAAAATAAGGAAGTCGATTTTGATTCGCCGAACAAGCGTACAAAAGGAGATAAATAGAGAAAGATTTTTCAGTGATTCGAGTCTTAACCGTCAAACAATGTAGACGTGTTTTCTTTCGTCTCTTAAACAGATCACCACACAGGATTGATAGAACATGTCGACATGAGCGTTAAAAAATAATTCAGTTTAAATTTCCCCGTTTTGAAGTTCTTTTAACTCAGGACTAAAAAGACTTAGCGATCGGATCACCAACCGCAAGAGAAGATGCAACATTATTAGCGAATTGACGCCGTCGACCCAAACCTTCTATCATGAGAGGGCTATACAAAAATGACAGTCAGGATGAAGTGGGAAGAACGTAAACTAGAAAATGTAACGACGGTCAGAAAGAAGTCTTAAGAACGTAAATTAGAAAAGATAATGACAGTCAGAGAGAAGTAGGAAGAACGTAAATTAGAAAGGTAATGACAGAGAGAAGTAGGAAGAACGTAAATTAGAAAGGTAATGACAGTCAGGGAGAATCAGGAAGAACGTAAATTAGAAAAGGTAACGACGTTCAGAGAGAAATCGGAAGAACGTAAATTAAAAGGTAATGCCAGTGAGTAGTAGAAAGAACGTAAGTTAGAAAGGTAATGACAGCCAGAGAGAAATCGGAAAAACGTAAATTAGAGAGTTAATGGCAGAGAGAAGTAGGAAGAAAGTAAATTAGAAAGGTAATGACAGTCAGAAAGAATTAGAAAGAACGTAAATTAGAAAGGTAATGACAGTCAGAGAGAAATCGGAGGAACGTAAGTTAGAAAGTTAATGACATCTGGAAGAAGTAAATTGGGAAGAATCTGGAAGAACGTAAATTAGAAAAGGTAACGACGTTCAGAGAGAAATCGGAAGAACGTAAATTAGAAAGGTAATGACAGTCAGAGAGAAGTAGGAAGAACGTAAATGAAACAATGAGAACTCGTTAGCAAATATAGAAATACATTACCTTGAATAGAGTAGCTAGTCTCTATTACAAAACCTGCATTTACATAAATATATTAAGGATATTCTGTGAGAAGAGACTGTGTCTGCACACGCGTCAGGGTGCATCTTTATTTAAGCGATATCTACCCGAAGACTGCTACATTTGTTTGCAAATATTGCCATGGAGCTCACATTTTCCCATCATCTTCCCACAAGAAGACTGAGATCGTTAAATTTATCCGTAAATCGTATGCTAACACTTTCTTTCCTCGCACTTCTCGACTCCATGCTTTCCAAACGACTTTAATCTTCAAAAATTTAAATGCAATGTAAATTGCTATCTACAGTCCTTCTGATTACTCTTCTTTTGTTTTCACTCCTTGTCAATGTTTCTCTTTCTAACTCTTCCACACCCAGTAACCCTTTGTGTCTTAGTGGATTTACTTCATGTCGGATGTCTAACCACACTTCTCATTAGAAAGCCTGAAGCAGTCACTCATTTAGACGCCGATGACCCGACCATCTGACAGGTTTTATTACATGTTATTTTTAAAGTCGAGAAATGTTCCCATTTCGCTTATAGGACAATATTTAAGGAGCTGCTAGAAGCCAAAAGCGTACCTTTTGGATAAAATTTGTAAAATATCCTATGGATTTTTTCTGGAGTTAGGAGCGGTTAAATAAAAGCATAACTAATATCAACTCAGACTGATACACATATACCAGGATCTCTTTTCTGCTGTGGCGCATTTTATTTAGTTTCATTTGAGGATTAACGTTGCAATATATGACTTCATACGTTATCCCAGTCGTCTGTAACAATATTGTATTTACAAGCAAAAAAAAAAAACATTCTACCCTGGAAAACCACTTTAAAATATATTTCAATAAATATATGATAAATTTTCTTTTTCCACAGTATCCTTTAATTAGTATCAATTTATACAAAAAATAATTATCGCTATCTATACAAGGGCAGGATATGTGTGTGTGTGTGTGTGTGTGTGTGTGTGTGTGTGTGTGTGTGTGTGTGTGTGCAACGAATGCACGGCCGCAATTTTTGATAGATTTGCACCAAAATTTACATGCACATGCTGCAAGTTAGCGATACGGCCAAGACCGATTTTGCATTTCCCAACTCCCATCGATAGTGGAAATAATTTTATAGCAGATCCAGATATACGATTACTTTGAAAATTCGCGAATAATTGACCGTTGGTGAAATACACGTGGAAAGGAAATTAAATATAAAGTTATCAATCAGGTGTCGCAGCTTTTACGAGTATGTTTCCTCAAAATGACCCCCCACCCGTATCTATGCCTTTTTACTAAAACTAAGCGACGCGTTGTAACTCATTAAAACATTTGTGTTATATATTGTTTTATGTTTAAGATACGCACCTCAGTCGATCAGACACCTTACCCGAATACCAGACATCCGCCTACACAAACAAATCTTGTTCTCGTAGCTCGCACCTGGCAAGAGATCACGTGGAACCCCACGTCGTCGTTTCAAGAATCAGCTAAAAAAAAAAAACTTTCTTGGACAAAAATCGATCCGGTCAATTGGGAGACGGAAGTTGCAGAAAGAACCAATTGAAGAAGAGCAGACCATAAAAAAAAAAACAACTTCCTTCGAAAACACTAGAAGACAAAGAGACCAAAGAAAAGCCAGAACTATTCATCCCTGAACCGTCCTACCCTATCATGCGGTGGCTGCGGACGGCTCTTTAGATCCAACATAGGACTCATTTCACACAAAAGGAAATGTCGATAACACCCCAATACTTGACAACGAGTTCCTCCAACGACTACACATTTTAATTTTATTAGTTATTCATTGTGCATATGTATGAGCGAATTCGACGTACCGACTGTAGTAAAAATTAATTTATATTGGTGTTCGTCTGACAGCTGCGTGAGTTAATATGAATAACGCAAGATCTAATAATCAGACAGTTTGCCTGTAATTGTGACACGTGGTTAACGGAGAGCGAGTTTTCTAATATCTGAATTGAGATATAAACAAAGGTTGTACAAAGCACCGGCTTTTTATTTCAAACTACTCCCCGTTTTAATTGATTTGTTTTTGTTGTGTTCCTTTTTTTTGTTGTTGTTGTTGTTCTGCGGCTTGCCCTGAGGCGAAACATTGGTTGCTCGAACAGCAACGAAAGTAAGCTGCTTTAAAAATTCCCATTCGTTTGCATTTGGATCCATTAGCCCTATCCGCATCAGCAACCAATGTCTACTTAATGCTTCAGTGTGTTCTGCTCTCTGATGAAATGGTTTACTTTTTCGGTCTTATCAATCTCTAGCAGGTTATTTAAAAGCAGAAAACCTTTTTCGATTATGATAATGTTTGACTGATAATAATGATTTACTGATACAAGTTCAAATAACTAAACCATAGCTGCGAAGACAAGAGTTGTATTTATAGATCTCCAAAGGGTATTTGCGCGTACGCGAATATAAAGAACCCAACTGGAATTAAAACTCGGCTCTCTGATTTGGAATTCCTAGCGATTATCCATAACAACCCCACCACATAGAAGATTACAGTACCTGATATTCGCAAGTGGTCGCTAGTTTAGGTATTGAACAGGATCGACGTTGCTTAACTTCGGTGATCTAACGTGATCCGGTGTTTAAAAGTGATATGGCCGTAAACCTCTACCCTATGGAGCATCTTTTATATTTTTAGCGAATATATGGGAGTTCGTTCAAGCTAGTCATGGCTATCTTTCTTCAAGACACGTTACTTAATGCATCATGTCTATTCCAACTGTTTTAGTTGACGTATTATCTCATTTTATTTTTGGATTCAGATCAGGTGTTTTGGTTTTAACTAACAACACACTGTTTCGTCAACGAAGTAATTAATATTTTTCAGTGCAGGTGACATCTTTGAAAGTTTAATCCAGGGTTGTATGTTGACAAAATAACCATCACATTACAATGTGTAAGACCAGTTTGGCGTCAGATGTCAAAAAATCAATCTCTTCTATTTTCCATGTTCTTTCAGGGCGTTATCGATCATGGCCCTCAACAAGTAACTGGCTTTTGTGGCTCTTAGTAAATTTTTGTTTGTGCTAACTCTATCTATAAAAGGCAGGATGTGTGTGTGTGTGTGTGTGTGTGTGTGTGTGTGTGTGTGTGTGTGTGTGTGTGTGTGTAACGAATGCACGACCGCAATTTTCGACAGATTTGCACCAAAATTTAAATGCGCATGCTCCAAGTTAGTGGTAAGGCCAACAGTGACTCTGCATTTCCCAACTCCCATCGATAGTAGAAATAATCGATTATTTCATGCCTCTACGGCAGTTTTCATGTAGTTTGCGGCCATTTTCTACTGGATGCCACGAATAGGCAGGTAGATTCTATTGGCCAGCGTCAGAGCCAACAGCTGACTGACACGAATGTTAACTAGCATGCTAGCATGCAAAAAAAATCGATAGTTGCATTCGTCACAAGTGGGAAAAATTTAAATCTGCATGGCACTTTACTCCAATTGACTCATTCGCTTGCTTATACTCAACGTTGATTCTGATTCCGCAGAACTGGGTTGGGTGTGAAAAAGTATTTGTTGTTAACATTCTTTTTTCATTCGGTTTTTCCAGTTACGAGTCCTTTTTTAAAGCTGATCGTTTTGTGTTCATTTTGTTTAGTTCTTTTTTCGTAACAGATTTAATGTTTAGTATATAGCTTAGAAAAAATTCGCTGTGAGATAGTCAAGAAGTAAGGCATGTAGCAACATCAGCACGGCAAAGGGCATAAATTCTCCAAGCCCATTTTCCTCATTATGCACCCTAAAGGTTTCAACTGCTTCTTTCTGAAATGTACGTTTTGTTTCTATTTTCTTAGCCTCCTCTGTGAAAACACTTCCCAGATATTTAAATTGTACTTTATTGGGTTTTTTTTTCTAATTTGTAATTGCATGATGGACTGTTCCTTTTTCTGACAATCATGCACTCTGTCACCTTACAATTTTAATTCACTACTGTCTGCTATCAACAATGTGTCATCTACCGACTGCATATCTTATATTGTTAAGATGGTATTAGTGAAATAAAAGATAGAAATGTCCGTATCTGACGCTACATTAAAATTATTTATACCATCAAGAAGTACTCGGGAGAAAATGCCATTTATCGTCTAAATAAATTAAAGGCAAATTCTGCTTGTTCGTCTGTTTGTCTGAAACCCCTCTAAGTTGCTCCAGATAGACATATTATACCTAATTCGAACAAGGCAGATGCTAGGAGTAAAAATCTGCTCTTCATCTGGTGCTTGAACATTCAGCATTGGGATTTCTCTTCTCAGGAGGAGAGAAGAGTGAGAAATTCGAATTTGAAAAATATCTGAAAATATTTAGTGATTTTAAATGTTTTTAATTTGTACTGAATTTAAAGTAGCAAAAAAACTTTATGAATTTAACTTTTTTTTTTTTGGTTTTAAATTCAGTTTAGGCTCCAAAACTTTGTGAATGTAGGAAATCAATTTTATTTCTTCAAAATACTAAGCAATCAGAGTTAAAGTGGGAGTTTTCGTGACGTGATGTTTTAAAGACCCGCAGAGTTGGTGATTTGAAGAACTCAATTTTCGGTCTGAACTGGAATTTCGGCCCAAGTGGGTCTCTTGGCCGGAATTGAACTTATAGCCCGATTCAGACTTAAAGGGAGATTTCAAATTCCATGGAGTGAATAAAAGTTATTTCTTCAAAATGATCATTGCTTTTTTCTAAGCTGGACACAAGGTCATTTTAGTTTTAGGCAAACGGCCCCAAGTAGCTCCCCGTCAGGCTGTAAAATAATTTATCACCCACAAGGAGGCACAAGACACAATATGACTGGGCAGCTCCTGCCCAAATATGACAGCAGTACCTCCTTTTTTAGGATTGATCTGGTGCTTTTAAAGGGAGAGGATGGCACGAAGATTCGGGTACTTGCTGAAGCGATAGAGGGAACTGTCTTTTATGCCTCTTTAGCGACGGATCCTGTGTACTAGTTCAACTTGAAGTGCGAGTTGTGTTTGAGGCTCAAAATTCCCTCAAGTAAAGGGGCCTTCCTGAGAGAATCTCCATCCATCGTGACTGGTAATAGTTTGGGATCTGATGGGCGGTAATTGAATGTAACTCTGTTTCCGAGTCGTTGAATATAAACAGTGAGTTTCCACGCCCCCACCGCTGACATGATAGAGCTACAGCGGAAGAGAGAAAGAGAGAGAGAGAGAGAGAGAGCAGTTGTCAATATCTGGTCATCAAGAGTTTCAGAGAAGCACACTTATATCGGTATTAAAAAAATAAAAAAAAATAAAGAAAAAAAACAGAATAAAATGATGCGGACATTTTTTTATCAGAAATAAAACCAGACCTCATAGAAAATAACCCGTTGAACGAAAATTATACAGTTTAAAAGCTGTCGGATTATGAATTCCAAAATCCGTTAATCCCTTTGGATACAATAATTAATCTTAGCTACCATGTGTTTCAAATGATCGTAACAAGTGGTGTAATTTCCTTCGTGGTTAAGCGCTGTAAGACCGAACTATATGTTCGTTTCCGCTTCATAACTATGGCGCACTTAACACAAAGGTCTCATTTCTTTCTTAAAGTTTAGTATATCCTTTCATCTTGTGTTCTTAGGCGTTGCGCGGAGACACAGTCGTATGTCAGCGGCAAGGCGAGTGGCTTGGAGGAGAGATATCTCATGGGATCTGTGAGTGTCTAACATTGAGCCGCTCCAGCGTCTTCTTGGCCTGCATCTCCTGAATTCAAATATCTGTGCAACATATTTATTCAAAACGGTTAACTCGACAGAGAAATCGAGACCTGATGTCAAAAAGCCAACGCAGTGGTTTTAAATTTTCCTTCTATGTTTTGATCGACAATGTTCGTTTAAATATTTCCTATAAGTTTCGTTGAAACTGATCTGTTATTTTTTGAGATATGTAAGAAAAACCAATGTGTTAAATACTTTTGCTTTTTCTCCAGGCAGAGTACCCGAGAGTATATGCTCATAGAGATGGTTGGTTGATAGGCATACGCGTGAGGTGTCCGAACCACTTGATCCTCTTCTGTTGTTCAATGTGTTGTAAGATTGATATTGCTCCTACCATATCTCTTATTGCCTCATTGTTCATCTTGTCTCTTCTGGTTTGTTCACTGCTTTCCTCGGGTATTTCATCTCACAAGTGATCTGTTTTCTCTCAAGGGTTTTTGTTAGGGGCCATGTCTGGCACTGGTATGTCAGAGTTGGTAGGAAAATGCCATTGATGAGATTTGCCTTGGTGCTCATGGAAATGCTAGGATGTTTTAGAAGAGGAGAAAGTTGGTAACTAACTGTGTTGTCTTTCTGATAGGATCCAGCTGCAGTAAGACACTGACCAACTGAACTCAAACTGCGAAAAATACGACATGAATATCAGTGTCAGTAAGACCGAGGGTATGACCGTCAGCAGAAGACCAGAAAAACTGGGCGTTAACATCAATGGGACCCAACTAAAGCAAACCAGTGAATTCAAATATCTGTGTAACATATTTATTCAAAACGGTTAACTCGACAGAGAAATCAAGACCAGATGTCAAAAAGCCAACGCAGTCAGTTTTTTTTTTAAGAATCTTTAAAAAAACAACAAAAAACAAGCCCGTTACACAGAAATTAATGTTTAGAAATAGATACTTCTAATCAAACACATGTATCACGTTGAAATACCAGTTATCGTTCGATTAACCAGGTTAAGCAACGTCGAGCTTTGTCAGTACTTAGATGGGTGACCACTTGGTAATACCAGATGCTGAATGCTAGGGGGGATATGTACGTTGTGTTAATGGATAACATCTCGGAATGAGAAATCGAAGAACCGAGTTCGAATTCCAGTCGAGATTCTTATATTTGCATACACTCAAATACCCTTTAGAAAGGTATGAATTAAGGGTTAAATCCTCGCACTGGTATTTGGAAAAATCAGGGCTACATGTTCAAGTTCTTTCTAACTATTCCAAGATGCTCTGAGCAAACACGGAAGAGGGGATCTCATGAAACCACATGATATTGAAACTTGTACTCTGGTGGGATCGAGAGAGAGTTATGTGGATGCACATTCTGCTGTAGACGGAGAGAATGAATTAATATATATATATATATATATATATATATATATATATATATATATATATATATATATAATTATTTATTTAAAATATGATTCCAACTCGCGACATAAGAGGTCTCATGTTTCAAAACAAGATCCGAAAACTTCAATATAATTATTTGAATTAAATTGAATTAAAGTAAGCTCTATTCCATCTTCAAGCGAAATCTTTTTTGGAATAACTTATTTCTGAAATTTACGTGTTTTAATAGTATATTCATAATTGAAATCAAAATTTCCATGGTAACAGCCAGGGCAGATTATTTAAAATAGGTAGGGGTGTGTTGGGTGTTAATAATAAGTATCAGTTTTGACTTACTTTAATAGATGTCAAGTCAGGTAAGGTGGGGGTGTCCAAATTTGAAATATATATATGAATATATGAATTTGAATATATATATATATATATATATATATATATATATATATATATATATATATATATATAACGTATATCAACAAAAAAGAATTGTTTGTATCGGTTTCCAACAGAGCAAACAGTTAAGCTAATAGACGT